GTAACAGCAAAAGGATTTCTGCTGTCCAGCGCCTTGGCTTTGCCACCGCACACATATCATTTCTCCCCAGTCTGCTTTAGCCGAAGTAGGACGCTATCTTCTGACCTGTCAAGGGGCACACAGGCTTGACTATTTGGAGACACCAAGCCCGCAGCTCATCCAGGGTAGCCTGGCTCGGGCCATCTGCAATGTTAGACTTTGACGGCACTCGTGCGAACCAACACAGCGTTGGTTCGGACTCAAGTGGATCTTCCAGCATCAGGAGGAGTTCTCTCCACAGTGGCACGAAAGCTGCACCCTGAATGAGGACATCAAGGGTAGGCCAATTGTCGATGAAGACAATCACACGCTTCCCGGAAAACCGAGACCGCCAATGCCTGAGAGTTACGATAGCTCCATGCGAAGGAAATCATGCACACTGGCTCTGGCACCAAAGGGTAGCGTCAGCATGAAATAGCACTCGATTTCACGTGTGTCTGGGCACTTGATGCAGATCACCGACTTGTCGTAATCCAGCGGGTGCAGTGGGAGCTGCTTATACGCTGAACGCAAGTCCAGCGAGGTGACCCTCAGGTTAGCTCCGTGCTGCATCCATTGGTCATGCACAGGCCCAGTAAGCCGCTCTCCTGTGGACAGGGTGAAGTCCACGACGCCACCTTCACGATAAAAGCGCGTCATGATGTTTAGCGACCACAAAAGGTGGTCCATGGCTTGGAGCACCACGCGCTCAGTGCAACTGTACGCCTCATTCACACTTTTTTTTGACTCACAGCGTCTTTGTCCGTTAGGTCCACGGTTCTCCTTAAAGTCATCGATCGGTCGCAGCTTGGCACCTTGCTGGACTCCGAACCTTCTGACAGGCAGCCACGTGTGATGCTGGGCAAACACGTCCTCGACAGTGTGGGGGCCATCCAGCCACCCCTTGTCCGTAGCCTCCTTCCGCGTGATCTCAAGCAGCTCGCGGCAGTGGGGGCCTTCAGGTTCTGCAGCAACTCTCGACAGGATGGCCGGTCTGAGGTAACGCGACTGCTCCATGAGGTCTTGCTCGCTGAGGTTGGCAACCGTGACTCCAGGCCTAAATACATTAGATGGCGTGGCGTTGCCAACCAGTCTGAATCCAGAACGCAGCTCTTCGCACAAACTTCTGTCAGGCCACTCGAGGGACTCGGCAATGCGCTCGAGCAGGACAGTGCGCTTTCGTCCAAGGATCTTCCGGACATTCGGGTGCATCCTTGCCCTGGCCTGTTGTTCTTCTAGCTGCAGCTCTGTGGACCATTTCCTCCACTTGCTAATCCGCTCCAGCCTTACTTTTGATAACTCCAGAGGAGAGAGCGTCAGTTGTTCAAAGATGGCTCTCAGGAGGAGGTCTGGCAACTGCACCATTGTGTCAAACGGGTGCCACAACGATTTGGCCACCTCGACAAATTCAAAGGGCTTGCAGAAAACCCCGAAAACGCAAAAGACACCCCCAGCTCCCCTATTCTCGGAACGCAACAACTTGCTGCCCTTAAGGTGCATCCCGCGCAGGTTGACAAACACACTGCTTGCTATCCAAAGGTGGCACGCCAGGCAGCAGATAAGACACGACATGGCTGTACTCGGACACGATTTGTGGGCGAAGCCGCCCCCGCTCTTGTTTCATGGCACGCGCTGTGGAAGGTCTGCTGCCGGACATCCTCATGCCACGTGCGCCTAGAGATGCCTCAGCCACGTCGCAGATTGCCTCACACATGGCCAAGGGGTAGGCCGCTTCATCACGCGTGTGGAAAGCGCCCTTGTCTGGGTTGTAGCCCCAGGACTCATGATGCTCACAACCTGGACACATCCTGGCCATGTGGGAAATACCGTCAAAACTGGACAGAAAACTTGTTTTCTTGTCACGTTTACTCCCGTAGGCACATGCTTGACAGTGAGCGAAGCAGCCAAGGGCTAAAGCCCTTCCAAAACACGGCAACTCCCACAACCAGCTATTAGCAGGGTTTTCAATGCACCACGGGATACCTAGCTGTTCACACAGGTCGACGCACTCGGCTAGCACGCGGTACACAGCATGACCAGCATCAAGTTTGACGCGATCTACACCACCAACCCATGGCAACCCCCATGGATGTTCTGCACTGCGAAGCACCCGTGGTCCCGGGCTGTCATCAGGCAATGGTATGCCCCTTGCTTTGCTGCACGTTCCACATGCAGGAGCCATGTGAACAAACGCAACCCTGCAATTTTTAAGCACATAACTAAGTACATTCTGCGCGTGCGGAGTGGTGACGTCGAGAGAATAGATCTTGCGCTTTGTCAGATGCCTGTTGCGCTCGCAGTCTACAGGCATGATTGCAAAACCACGGCGCCTAGCCACGTCACTAAGAGTTGCAGATCCAGCGCAAATTTCCATGCAAAGAGGCCAATCCTGAGGCAGGCTATCAAGCAGGCTCACGCTCTTATCAACTGATCACACACTGCCGGGCTTGCATCAGGCCCCTGCATGGGAGGCGCATTCTGAGCACACCCTGGCGCTACGACAACTTGGGTCTCCGGCACTGGGCCCCAAGCAGGGCTGGCGTCCGCGTCGGTCGCCTTGGTGGCATCGCTGGAACTGAGACCTGCTGCAGCTTGTTGATCTTCTGCCATTGGCTGCAGCAGGACAGAATGGGGCAGGAACTCCCCAAAAACACGAGGAACATTGGCCGTCCCCTGTTGCCCCACTGCAACAGGCTTAGGCATCTCATGATCATGGCTCTCGACATGAGAGCTGTGCTGACGCTGGGCATGTACGTGCCCCTCGTCACGCGGTACATCTTTATCATTTGCATGGCCCTCCACATGAGAGGCCGATAGGCACACCAGACCGGGCGCCTCTAGCTCTGCATTGAGCTGGTGCGCCAGGTCACGCACGTCACCCCCTGACGCACGCGCAACATCCGCGCAGGTCACATTGACTGCGCCTATCGCCGGGGCATCCGGCGATAGTCACTCATGCTGCCCTTGCACCTTGGAAAGGCTGCAATCCGTGCGCTTTGTGGCACCCTTTCACGGCACAAAGATGCAAGCCCTTGGCGCAGCGCTGATTCTGGACAGTCGCGCAGCACTTCTTCAAACTATAGTCAAAGCAGAGGCGATGACCCTTGGGGGTTGCCCCGACACGAGAGCGAGAAGCTCAGCAGGAACGCGCCCGGCACTCTCGCCTTTGCCCTCGCCCTTGCCCGCCTGGGCTTTGCCCTGGTCTTTGGCACCTTTGCCTTTGCCGCCCTCGACACGAGGGCGCTTCAGCGGCGGCTCACGCCCATCATCATTGTACACAGCGAAGGGCTTGTGCTGCAAAATGGTGAGAAACTCTGCGCTGGTCAAACAGGACTGGAAGGCCTTGTCACATGGCCACCCTACTGCTGATGCCTTGATGCCAGATCGCGTTGCCTCTGCGAGCAGCACAAAGAACTTCCTGTCGGCCGCTTGCATCTGCTGCATGGACACTCTGGAAAACCGTGGCGGGGGCTCCTGCAAACGGTATTGGGAAAGCTTTTCCACCAGCAAGTCGTGGTTTTCATAACTCAGGACATTGGCTTGCTCCAACGCAAGCCTCCTTCGAACAAGACAATAACGCACCATCATCTCACTGCTAGTGTCACACGGAGTTGCGTGCTGCTTGCTGGCGAGTTTCAGGGTTCCTGATGCGTCAAAACTGAGCCCTGTGTCCTTCTTCAACCCTGTTGCCAACTCATGTTCACGAGAGACGCATGTGCTCCATTCCTGATACAAGAGCCTATCGCTCTCATAAATGGCAACGGCTTTGTCTACATGGGAATCGCCTGGCTCGTGCTGCCCGCGGAGCTGCAATCCCTTCAAGCGGGCTTGCTGATCTGCAAGCCGTTGAGCTCTGTCTGCTGGAGCTAGCTTCTTCACAGCCGTATCATCAGAACCTTCAACTTGTGACTTGATGTCTGAGGCTACTGTTGCGTACGCCTCGGCAAAGAGGCGACGCATGCGTGACATCTCTTTGGTGCTGGGCGCGGCCCCCAGTACTTGCGTCACCAAGTCTGTTAGAGGCTTTTCATCTGGGCTGCCTGGCGCAAAGTTGCAGGAAAATGCAAAGATTGCCATTGTGTTCAAGCCCTCGGCATCGAGCTTGTCTACACTGCTCTGTGTCAGACGTATCTCCAAGGCCCTTGCCTTGAAGACAGCTACACTGTCCCCGAATGCCATTTCAGGGAGCTACAGTAGGATCTAGCACTTCGAGCACTCACAGAGGGCTACGCTCACGCGTGCTTCAACATGGCACTCCAACTTGCTGTTCCTACTCACTTGCGCAGTCAGCTGCAACATCACACCTACTCAGTCCTACTCAGTCCTACTCGCGGCTGCAAGCACTGCGCACCCAAGACATGTGACACTCACGCGCAACTTCCGACACACACTGGATGTTGCACTGCACTTTTACACACACACACACACACACACACGCAACGATTCGCACACGCACTGCTACATCCTAAGCAAACAAACAGAGCAGGCCGGATGCACGAACTTAGGCTTCCGTGACAACTTCATGTAGTTGACCGTCAGCTTCCTGCCACACCTGAGTTCCGTGCCAGCCTCATCCTTGATCAAGTGCAGATACCGGGAGGTTTTGTGCCGGACGAACTGAAGGCCATCTTCCCCGGCACCAAGTGGTGCCCATGCACCAACCACCTCGTCCACGGCCGCCTCATCATCTGTCGGATTGCCATCTTCTTCATCCAGTGAGCTCTCTGACGATGAGTCAGGCTGAGCCTCTGAGTCTGCTTGACAGTGCAAATCTTTGGCCTTGTAGTCAGAGGCCTGGGCTAGCATCATGCCAGACCGCGTGAGGTCCGGCTGGAATTTGTTAGCTGCAACCTCTTGCAGCAAGGAGACGAGCTGCCGCAATGGATCAGCCAGCGCATCTCGTGAATATATCACTATGGTGGAGTCTTTTGACGCCACATGGTAGCCGAGCAATCTTCTCGGCCCATGAGGTAGCCCGCGCTTTGCCGCCCAAGAGAGCAACGTCGCTTTGCATGAATGCATTCCTATAGGCACGCTGTCTGCGGACGGAGTGGCGTCCAGTAGTGTTCTCAGCCACGACGCCGCGTAGCCCACGGTGACCATGGCCGCGGTCCAACCCGAACCGTAGGCCGGGTGTCTCAAGAGAGGCTCCTGCACGTCCTTGTCGCCATCCGAAGCAAACCCTTCGGACTTGCGGTGTTGCAACCAGACTGGGATCCACGGCAAACCAAGGCATTGCAGTGGAACGGCAACTGGCAGGCGCCTGATCCTCTTCTCGAGCGTCAAAGCAGTCTTCGTCCTTTCAGCTTCACACTCAAGGAAGCCGCTCTGTCGCCCATTGACGCGCACAACATCCAGCTTCATCTCCTTGATCCGCTGTCCGTCTGAGAATCGCAAGCGCCCATACACCAGCAACAAGAAGAAGCCAGCCGCCACGCGGTCATATTTGGAGCGCTTCACATCATGAACTATGCCCTCGAGCTTCCTCACCTGCTCTACAGTGAGAGCCGGACGCTGCCTGGCTTTGCGCCTGCGCACATAGTGGCCTTGCACCACTCCCTTGATGCGTCCACTGAGGAGCGCTGCACCACGGGTTTAGGGTTATGGGGTTATATGAAGTTATATGGGGATATAGGGGTAATGCTATAGGGATAGTGGAAAAGAAAAAGGAAACTACTATCTAGGGTTTAAGGTCTAGGGTTTAGGACTCTCTGGGGGTTTCCCCAACTTTAGGGGTATCTTTAAAGGAGGTTAGAGGGTTATAAATGGATATATAGGTTTTAGGATTTAGGGTTTCCCAAAATTAGGGTAATTAGGGGTCCCTTTGAAGGGGGTTAGAGGGTGATACGGGGATATATAGGGTTCAGGGTCAAGGGGCTTTCATAAAATTAGGGGTACTTTTCTTTTGTGGGTCCCCATGACAAAGACGATAGTGTTTTGGGATCTAAATGTGGCTCCCTGTTTGGGGAAACTACCAAGTTTTCGTTACAACCATTTCTTCCTTGAAGTCCAGAACTTACCAGCCCGCAACACCAAGCCCTCGCACCCTTACTTCATCCCAACATCAGGAACCCACAAGCCTGAAACCACAACCGTGACCCTTAACTGGCTTAAGCCAGGACCTCCTGATCCCAACCCCGGTCGGCCGCAGCGTCACCTGGGCTCCCGAAAGTGCTGGCTCACTGGATGCGGACGCTTGGCTACGTCCCTCAGGGCGGTGGGTCCAAGGGGTGTAGGCCAACCCAACCCCAAGGCCCAAGCCCTGCACCCTAAACCCTAAACCACCCGAAGCCCTAAACCCTAAACCCTAAACCACCCGAAGCCCTAAACTGTAAACCCTAACCACTCGAAGCCTAAACCTTAAACCTTAAACTACCCGAAGCCCTAAACCCTAAACCCTAAGCCCTAAGCCCTAGTAGATTTTATAAGGAGCCTTGAGGAGTGACGGGGACGATTAGGGAGTTTTGCTGGCTACTAGATTACCTACCTTTCGTCTTGAGGCCCCCAGGTTTACGACCTGATAAGTTTTGGGTTCAGGAGTTCTTGGGGGGTTAGGGTCTCAGAATTTAGGGTTTAGGGCTTAGGTAGAAGACTGTTGGGCTTCAACTGATGACATGATGACATTTGAGCAGCGTCTTTAGTATTACGAACTTCTCAAAATCATGGTCTCCGGTGTTAGGGGTGCCTGTGATGAGTATCCCAACTAATTGTACCTGGCAGTGCCAGTTGGACAAATACTTACACAGTAGTTAAGGGTCGTATACGGAGTCTTAGAGGGGATCATGTGGTAGTTTCTCAAATAAGGGGACCCCAATATACACACCAAAATACTTTCATCCTTATTCTGAGGACCGCCAAAACGGTACCCCCCCAATTCGGGCAAACCCCCATGTGGAAACTTGAAACCCTAAACCCTAAACCCTAAACCCTAAGCTGCGTCTTGCACTCCTGAGCTTCGACACGTGATTGTCAGAGGAACTTGGGCGGGATCTGCTTTAAGAGTTCAGGACTTCGAGGCTCCCTGCCTGGGCATATTGTTTAGGGCCTAAGTTTCTGTAGAACGGTAAGCAGGGCGGACGGAAACTTGGCCCACGCTTCTGATATAAGCCCTAAGCCCCAAGGGCCCATGTTAGCAAACTGCGACTTACGGGACGGAGCTTGGGGAAGGATCATGTTAATCAACTGCCACTCGGAGGTTCAAGCGTATTGAGGAAGTCTTCCCTTGTAGTTGAAACCGGGAGGTCTATAATGTTCAAGTACAGCAAGGCCTAAGAGGGAGCATTGCCATCTTAAATTTCTGAAGTAATCAGTAGTCCCAAACACCGAGCGCATTTGTCCCAAATGCCCCAATACTTAGATCCCTCAGTGACAAGCCCCTGGGTTTAGGGTTTAGGGTTTAGAAATCTTACTAAGGTTCAGTGTTTAGATTGCGGGTCCTCACTATTTGACTCCCTGCTAGCTTTTGTTGCTGGTTGACCCTAAGCCTAAACCCTAAGCCCCAACCCTCCCCCCCTAAACCCCCTAAACCTCCTAAACCCCCTAAACCCTCAACCCCTACCAAAGCCGATCTTCCCCCAGCTGAGATGTTTTGGGCTGAAGAGGAGGACTCCCGAGGTTTTAGGGTTTAGGTTTTAGGGTTTAGGGTTTAGGCGCGGAATTGACTAGAAGTCAGAAGGACAAGAAAATGGAACATGAAATGGACTGCGGTTCATTTAGGGTTCAGGTTTAGTGATGGTGGGATTACGTAGTGTTTAGGGTAGTAAGAAAGAGCTGCAAAGAAAATGTGCAAGAACACGGAAGAGAAATCAAAAACTGGGCATATGTATATATGTGTATATACATATATATATATATATATATGCGTGCAGAATTCTTGGGGGAACCTTAACCATAAAACGCGTTCATGCATAAGTTCCAGGGCTTACATCTATGGGGGTTCCAAGCATTGTGGTAAACCCTAAACCCTAAACTGGTCTGGTTTTGGGAATCCTGAAACCAGGAGACCCCAACTGGAAATTCACAGAACATGTTTAGGGTTCAGGGTTTGGGCTATAGTCTAAACTCCTTTAAATAAGGGAGTTCCCTAGGGATCTATGCAGGATTTAAAGTTCAGGGTCTAAACTCCTTAAAGGGGGATATACAGTGGATTATTTTGGGCCATATTGTCGGGGGGATACTTGGAAGTTGAGCTAAACCCTAAACCCTAAAGGTCATATAGGACTAGGGCACCAGATCTGGCTACACAGCAATTCTTAACTGGGCCTGAACCCTGTTTGGGATATAGTCCCCCTTAAGTAGATAGAATATGGCGTTGGGTATAATAAGACCACCATATGCCCCATATTCTATCTACTTTATTCTATCTACTTAAGGGGGACTACAGGGGTCTTGGGCCATGGGTTCAGGGTCTTCCGTCTAGGGTTCAGAGATTTTCCAGGCCTGCAACATTCCTCCAAGTAATTATTAAGGCTATCGTGCCCGCCTCGGCTGGTGGGGCGCGGAGCACACGAATAGGTCATGGCATGTAGTTGACACGTGGGGTTTAGGGTCGAGGGAGTAACGGAGGCAAGCCTCACTTCAGATTGTTGCATGCACGTTGCAGCATTCATGGAGGGTTGGCAGGGCTTAGTCCATCAGCCTTAAGTGAAGGAGTTCGCAAGCTTAGGTGTAGGCACGCTGAAGGGGGAGGGAGGGGGGGGGGGAGGGAGGGAGGCGGGGAACATTTACGAAAATTGCTTGCTGCCAGAATTTCACGCGGGATGGTCAGGCTGGACCAGGCCACCCAGGGAGGGGGGGTCGCCACGAGCGAACAGGTCTGCAAAAAGGGGTGGTAGGGGGGGTTTGTAGAGGGTTCTGAATGCCTGAGGCTGGATAGCCTCGGCGAATTAATTGATAAGAAGAGGATGTTGCTACCCAAATCCCCAAAAGACAGGTGTTGCGACTGTCATATAACTCTCATAGGCTTCTCTTTGGGGGTTGGGGCTTCCTCAATTGTCTTCTTGACAATTCAAGCACCACCCCAGCAAGGGTAAACATGATGCAGGTGTTAGTTTCCCCAAAGTGGGGGGACCCCAATATAGACGCCAATATACCGAACCCAAAATGTTACCCATAAGTTTGCGATACTCTAAACCCTAATGCCTGAA